CGTCCACCTGTACAATGTACAAATCTTTAGAAACACCATTAGTGTTCTGCCAAAGATTTCGCATGCGTTATCGTATGCCATGGCATCAAAACATGGTCTTTCGTTCTTAAAGCTTCTGTGACAGTGAAAGGGTAAACAACCAGCCTGGATCTTTCTCTTCAACCCTCCGTCAGTTTGATGGCAGATTTCGATAAAAATCGAAAACTGCATGCGAAAACCACTTTTTTCCCCAGAGGTTTAAATAAGGAAAGTTCGCAAAAATTATTTCAAAAGCTAACCTATAGCTCAAAACGCCCATCGAAAATTCACAACTTTACATTGCACTTTTAAGAAGTTAGATGAAATTTCGTCGGACGATTAGATATCAATATATATAAGTACATATATATATATATATATATATATATATATACAATATATATAAGTACTCTAAACAATTAGTTGCACGCGACCTGGATTGATTGTAAAGTGTTATTTTCAAGACATGCAAGTATGAAAATTTGCGCTAATTTTCCTCTTTTTGCCATCAGAGCATAAGTAAAGTTACTCATATTTTGATGCGAATGAAATGTTATCATTTACATCATATTTGCTGCCACGGCAAATGGCTAACTTTCACACAACCATTCTAAAATATTTCATTGAACTGATGGCGTAAAAATCTGTCTGGTCTTCGACACTGATAGTAGGGGCAGGCAATGAACAAATTCTACTGACAGCGTCAGAGAAACACAATTATCCTAATTCCAATTATGATGTATATGATGACAGTGTGAAAAATTTCGTCCCTTTAGATTTCGCACACGAAAATTTTAGGCAATTAATTCCTAGCTAAAAGGTACCTCGTATTGCTTTCCAATAATGCTAGCTGGCTTCAAATCCTTTAGAAGATCAATCGTAAGTTTAAAGCCCTTTGACAACCTACAATCCAAAAATGTTTGATGGTTTTACTCCCTCAAAACGGGTATAATTTCAACTAAACTTGGTTTCCTTGATACAGTGACGTTGGCTCGTATAGTGATTTTTCTTCTTGCCCTACCTCATTGTTGGCTGTTGAAACAATGATTTCTTTTGTTCAATGGTTTGGAAAAATTTGATAGAACATGAAAAGAAATTTGACATCAATGTTTGTAGACCAGATACATCATTATAAGTGATGAACCAGCTCTAGGAAATCGCTCAGGCATAATGCACCGATGGGTGGACCCCTAATATGTCAGGTCTAAGGAAACATAAGAGTGATTTTGCCTCCATTACTCAACCGGGTACTCAAAGTGTTTATAACTGGGCGCGTTGGCCAGCCAAGCCACCGTATAGATAGAAAGAAAGGGCTTGAGCTAAATTGAAAATGATTTAGAGACCTTAGATTTAGTAGATGATCTACTGACTAAAGAGTCTTAACGTAAGTATTCTTGGCGGAGACTGAAGCCCGAGGGACCGTGACGTTGAAGACTTCTATCTGAGACACTAGAGTTTGCAGCCGAAGTAGCTCCACCCTATCTGGCGGAATGGGTACTAAACTTGGAAATGTCTGGTATGATCCCGCGAGATGATTTTTTAAAAGACTCGCTATAGGCTGAAAGGCTAATGGGCTTAATGACTGAGATTAGACGTTTTCAATTACCAGAAGCAGATATGGGTCTAAAAAGATACTTACCTGAATCAAATGAAAGCTGAGAGGAGCTCATATATAATTCTACCCTGGCTACGGGACACACACTAGAACCCGACTCTGCTATTACAACCGACTGCTCTACTCAGCTTTACTCTTTTCAATGAAAATGGAAATAAACTTTTACCAAACTCAATATCTTTGGGGACCACTCAGAAAATCTAAGGAAACCCGAGAAGGCTAAAACGAACATAACTAAATTATGCAGCTACAAAAAATAAATTAAAAACGGTCTTACTTGCCAATCCTCTAAGGTACTTAGCCCCTTGGGGCTCCTACCGGTGCTTAACAGGCGAGGACGCAAGACTTCGGGAAAGGCGCCGATGTCTAGGACGTCCGCGGCAAAAGACTTCCATCTGTCAAAAACCCTGGTGTAATTAATTAACGTTCCGGATGCCCTGGATGCTTGCGCAGAAAATATTAATTTATCCATCAATGAGGCAACTTTACTCAGGACTGGAGACCAGAAATCTGTATAAAAAAAAAAACCTGAGAAGAATACACCAAACAATAATAAATGAAACGAGAGACAATAGAAACAGGGAAAATAGACACGGAAGTAAATATATATAGGTAGTCTGCCTTTCGATTTTTCCGTGTTACAATGCTCGATACATAGAAGTAGAGCGCAATATATGTTGAGTTAGAACAATACAATGACTTGAGTCCGATGTATGTTTCAGTAGTGCTGTTGTCCCTAAGGCAAGGAATCTGTGCCCTAGTAGACAAAAACTACCCTAAAGATCACAATCTTAGAAAAATCTTTAACCGAAATATATCTAGATCAGTTACAGCTACATGAGCAACACTAAACAGATCATCGACAATTACATCAAACGCATTTTAAACTAATCCAAATACATCGATGACACCAAAGATGGCACCAACACACAAGACAACAAAACTTGCAACTGCCGACCAAAGAACACTTGCCCACTTAACGGAAACTACCTCCAGACTTCAGTAATCTACCAATTAAGCCACCGTCCCACGTAAGGATAACAGCACTACTGAAACATGTATCGGAATCACAGAAAAGCACAGAAAACGACTTTAAAACTAGATACAGAAACCACACTGCACCATTCCGACTCACCGTTAAAACATAGAAACTCTACCAAACTCAGCAAACGTATCTGGACTCAAATAAAATAACGTTGACCACCTTTTTTCATGGTGCATCCTTTCATCAAGATCACCCTTGAACAGCGCAAGCAAAAGATGTAACCTCTGTCTAAAAGAAAAACTACTCATCATCTGCCGACCTCAATTATCATCACTCAATAAACGTAACGAAGTTGTGTCCTCATCCCGCCACAGAAACACAGCGTTACTGCTTAATAACTGATCAAAGCAATTAAATTTACCGCCGTGCCTCTTACACAAATTTTTATAGTATTTTTTTATAAACGATGGTTACGACGATTCTTATCAATAAAATACCCTGATCAGAGCGCAATCACGAAAAAGGCTTGTCGGGATGAAAGTGTAGTCTTTGTATTTTTCTAACTAAAATACATTTTAACAAAATGTGGACAATTTCAAATCACAGTTTGGCTCTGATGAAACATGTAATAAAATAATTTGTATGGAACGAAAATTCCTTCGTTCTTCTTTTCAAACAATATGGCTCCAAATGTTCAGTCCTTTTTTTTTTTGTATGTTAAGAAGCATGGTTATGTTATTATTGAAGTTGCGCCGCTCTTATTGAAGCAGCAAAACTCTTGTAATCATACAAAGGATTTTATGTCATAAAGGGTAAAAGTTTCTGAAGAAACTGTGGTGCTGCGTCGGTGGAGGTAACAAGGTAATTTGGTTATATCATACGTCTGATGCACGATCCTCGCAGTAGAGAGCGCCATTTATGCAATAGCGAAAATCAGACCTGAAAAAAATCAGGTCTGTACGGGATTCGAACCACTGGCCTCTGTGATACTAGTGCAGCGCTCTACCAATTGAGCTAACAAGCCAACGGGGAGCAGGCCGTTAAGTTGATTCGTAATAAACCCGTGATGATAAATCAGATACGATGATTATATGAAGTTCATATATTTTGAAATGCGGTTATAGATACGTATACGATCCTCGCAGTAGAGAGCGCCATTTATGCAATAGCGAAAATCAGACCTGAAAAAAATCAGGCCTGTGCGGGATTCGAACCACTGACTTCTGCGATACTAATGCAGCGCTCTACCAATTGAGCTAACTGGGTGCAGGCCGTTGAGTTGGTTCGTAATAAACCCTTGATGATGAGTCAGATACGATGAGTATATGCAGTTCATATATTTTGAACTGCGGTTATAGATACGTATGATGCACGATCCTCGCAGTAGAGAGCGCCATTTATGCAATAGCGAAAATCAGACCTGAAGAAAATCAGGCCTGTACGGGATTCGAACCACTGACCTCTGCGATACTAGTGCAGCGCTCTACCAATTGAGCTAACAAGCCAACTGGGAGCAGGCCGTTAAGTTGATTCGTAATAAACCCGTGATGATAAATCAGATACGATGATTATATGAAGTTCATATATTTTGAAATGCGGTTATAGATACGTATACGATCCTCGCAGTAGAGAGCGCCATTTATGCAATAGCGAAAATCAGACCTGAAAAAAATCAGGCCTGT